ATTTACAGACAACAGGTGTGTGTGTGTTATTTACAGACAACAGGTGTGTGTGTGTGTGTGTCATTTACAGACAACAGCTGGATGTTGTGCAGTTAAAGACCTCCCTCTGTTTTAAACGTTTACACTCAAACACAGAAACACTCAGTCAGGAGTGTTGTTCCAGCAGGAACTGAATCTGAATTCTTCAGTTTGAAACTGACTGCATTGGTTTGAAATTAAATTTCACTAAATTATCCCATCATGGATCATCAGACGCTGCTGACTGATCCATGATGTCATCATGTAAACGTAACATTTTCTACATATAGGTCAAATTAATCACTGCAGTAAAATAACTTTGTGTGTTTTTGTCACTTTCACAGTGGATTGCATCAACTCTGTTACATCCAGAAGGGAAACTTCACCARAGTGAAACATAAATCTGTGGATCTGTGTTTGATTACTCTGCCTGGCTTTCTCAAGGACCAGGATGTGACACAAATTTTTTTTTTCAAAAAATAAAAATTCAAAAGTTTAAATTCTGTTTCAGTTTAGTGAAATTTATTTTCAAACCAATACATTCAATTTCAAACTCTGCACATTCAGTTTCAATATGAAGAAATCAAATTCAGTTCCTGCTGGAACAAGATTTATCCCATAGATTCACCCCAAAGGTCAGACTGTGCAGTCCTCAGAGGAATGAGCTCCGCCTCTACGGACATGTTTACCCAAAATGCACTGCAGCAAACAGCTCCTCCCAGCTGTCAGCACGGAGGTGGAGGACTGATGGTTTGATGTGTGGACCATGACCATGCAGACCAGAGTCCAGTGCATCTGTGTGGTTTTACAGGATAATTATTTGATTCATTCATGACGTCAGTTCACAGCTCAGACAAATGAACAACCCAGTTCTGTTGTCTTTGTGTAGAATTTATAATTCAAACATTAAATATGATATTAAACTGAACTGATGACTAACTGCTGAACCAGCAGGTGGGGCTGTCCTCCAACATGGCGGATTCCAACCGCCTTTAACGGAATAAGAAGGAGAAGGCGGCGGCGCTGACGCCGTGCGTGCGTCAGAGCGTGATATCCCTCCGCGTCGAGAAGCGCGCGGTCCTTTCCCTCGCGATGCGGTGAAACTCTGAAGTCGTTTCTTCGTGCGACACGGTCGTTGTAACGTTTCCCGCTCCATCGAACGGACACCCACCCGAGCGAGCACCGGGGAAGCCTCCGTCTCCCCCCGAAGCACCCATCGAACCCGCCCCGAGGCCCGCCCTGACCGAACCCGACCTGTAGCCGGCACTCGCTGAGCTCCGTGGAGGAAATCCAACCCGCTGAGGGCGCTGAACCTGACCGAGTGAAGCGAGCGGCAGCCGGGACTCGGAATGGAGCTCATCACTATTTTGGAAAAAACCGTGTCTCCAGGTGAGCGGCGGGGGCCACGCGTGCACTCTGCTCCGGGGTTGGTGGTGTAATATCGGGGAGGTGTAGTGAGGTGAAGTAAGGGCAGTTTCACGGCTGGGCGGAGGGCAGTGCTAACTGAGCTARCCGCTCGGGCCTGACACGGTGAGTGACTCCGCACTAACCGGACTTTAATCGCCGTTTCACGGTGAAGTTACCGGACCTGGCTGCTCTGGTTGTCTCGGAACTCACTGTCTGATCCTAAGGTGAGTCCTGTGACCTGCAGCGGTGGATCCGGGCGCTGCAGGTCACAGAACCGGACACCGACCCTGCCCATAGCCGGCAGAACCGCTGTGTTAGCCTGTTAGCGGTTATCTTCTGAATATCGGCCACTTCCGGTCTGGTTCTGAGCCGCTGCTGGGACACAGGTCCAGTAGACGTTAGGACACATCTACTCAGACTCTTTACAGAAAGTTGGTGCTGTTTGGACCGGGTTGGTTCACTTCTGGTTCCGTAAATGTGTTCCTGTGGTGCGGCTAAGCGTTAGCAGCTAACACGCATGCTCCGTGCTCGGCGGGCTGTTAGCATGGTGGAAATGTGACTGCGTGGATCCAATATCAGTCGGTACCAGGGGGATCATTAGCGGTGTTGTGTGGAGCCCGGCTGATAAACCGGTTCTGGAGTGTTTGAATCTGATCTGGCCTCTCTCCGCAGACCGGAATGAGCTGGAGGCGGCGCAGAAGTTTCTGGAGCAGGCGGCCATCGAGAACCTGGTGAGTGTCGGGCCACTGGAGAGGAGGGGGAGGCAGGCCGAGCTGCAGCTGCAGGCCGCTGGAGAGGTGGGGGGCTCCGGACAGCTGAGCTTCAGCCGGGCCGGCATCTCCTCTCTGCCGCCCCCCAACCCCTCCTAACACACAAATACACACACATACACACACTCAGTCACCCTGCCAGTGCTGTGATCTAAGTGAAAGGTATTTATGCAAATTCAAAGAGCAGGTATAAAACAAACCATGCAGTAACACATTACTATTACTACTTTAATAATACATTACTATTACTACTTTAATAATACATTACTATTACTACTTTAATAATACATTACTATTACTACTTTAATAATACAGGCTGTTTTCACAATGGTTTATGTTGCATTTAAAACAGCAACACTTGATCTGATGCCAGCCTCAGCCTCTTGGTTTATGTGCAGAAATGACTGAAAATGGATGAAACATGTTCCCTCTGTGCTGTTTGATGTTTAGCTGCAGATTGACTGTATTTTCCACCCAAACGTCTCAGACTCTGTGCTGGACTCAGTCCTGTGTTTACCTGCAGACCAGCCTGGTGCAGGTCCGTTTGTTAAACTGTTTTATGGTTAAAGAGACACTTTGTGTGATTTCACAGTTTGCAGCGAGGAGCTTTAACTTTATCAGGTTAAACTGAAGAAATTATTCTTCTGGTTTCTTWGTTTGAGCACCTTCAGGAGGGATTCTGGTCCTTGTTCAGACCTCAACAGAACCAGATCTTGGTTCTGCACCCTGGTCTGTCTTGAACTTCTCTGAAGTGTTGCAGTGCAGAGAGTCCATCCTTGTCCCAAATCCTCTGGATTAGGTTTTAAAAGAACTGCAGGGTTTGGTTGGTTCACCGGGCCGACCCACATTTACAAACCTGTCTGCGTGCTGGTTCCATAGACCAGGATGTTGGAACCACCTGCAGGTCTTCCAAACATCTGCTGATCGTTGATGTTAGAACCCTCTCAGAGGTTTCAGTCCCTGTAGATCCGGTTCTGGAGGATCCAGAGTTTTTCTGGGCTGAAGCCTGTTTGCAGGAAGGTTTTAGTTGCAAACACACCTGAGCTCAGAACCAGGAAGTAAACGAGACTTTACCTGGAGTAAATCATTCTCAGACTGAGGATGTTCTCAGCAGACAGCAGTAAAACATTTACTTATATTTTTACTACAACTAATGTTGAAAACTCTTATAATACTTTGTCATCATCAGGACTTTGTAAAAAAGTACATAAATATAGTGTTTTAAAAGGAATTTTTCTTTCTAATTAACAAAGGAACTGATAAATGTTTTGGTAATTTCTGCTCTCTAAGTGGAAGTTACTTTCCTTTTTAAGTAGAATCAGTTTGTAATCAGTTTGTAATCAGTTTGTAATCAGTTTGTAATCTCTGTGCTGTGATATTTCTTGTCTAAAGGAATCAACAGCTCTAGTAAAACAGCTGTTGCAGTAGAAAACAGTCAGATCTATTTTATGTTTTTAGCTACAGAAAATGAGTTTAAAAGTCTTTAGTTTCCTGTTTAAAGCTGTTTGTGGTGGCCAGCAGGGGGCGCCACATGATGATCAGGAAACTGATTCAGTTTAGGATCATAAAGTTCCTGCTGACTGTAGGATGTGTCCAATCTCAGCAGCTGCTGCTGATGTCAGGCAGAGCAGGAGGTTCTGATCCAGAGCAGGAGGTTCTGATCCAGAGCAGGAGGTTCTGATCCGTCTAGTAAATAAATCCTAAAACTGTTTTAGATGCGCTCTGGCAGCTGCTGCAGGTAGACCTGAGTCTCACCTGTCTCCTCTCAGTCAGCAGCTGTGATCAGCAGATCAGTGAGACTGGTGTCAGATTGACTGTGTTTAAGTGGAACATTATAAACAGCTGTTGGTCAAAGTGTTGCACACTTCAATGAATAAATATAAACTTAATAAATATAATGAGAAAAAAAGAAACATAAAAAACAGCCTATAAACGTCTCACGGTGCGTTCAAGTGCAGACGAGCTGTTAAACCTGCCAGATTTCCTGATCAGTTCTTATAAACATGCTGAGGTGAGTTCAGCTTCCTGTCAACAACTTCCTGTTTGATCAGGTTTCACAGAAACACATCAGAGCTKAACACAAACACCGGGARACACAAACATCAGGAGACACAAACACCAGGAGACACAAACATCAGGAGACACAAACATCAGGAG